ACCTTCTTAGGAACCATGAATTTCGGCATATTTTTCTTGCAAAACTCCATGATTTCTTCTTCCTTGGTTGGGTTTTTCAACACAACGAAAGCACATGGAGTTTCTCCCCATCTTGGGTGTGGCATTCCTACCACCGCCACTTCCAGTATGTTGGGGTGGTTGAATAGAACCGATTCCAGTTCAACACTGCTGATATTTTCTCCTCCTGAAATGATCACATCTTTTGATCTATCTTTGATCTCCAGATACCCATCTGGATGAATAACTCCAACGTCGCCAGTGAAAAACCATCCTTTGTGGAATGCTTTTGCAGTCTCTTTTTCGTCTTTTAGGTATCCTTTCATGATGCTGCTTCCTCTAAGAACGATTTCGCCCATCGTTTTACCGTCAGATGGAACGCTCTCCATTGTTTCCTTTATCTTCACATCAACGTCGGAAAGTGTTAGGATTCCGACGCCTTGACGGGATTTCAATTTGGCTTGTTCATTTCGTGGGAGTTGATTCCATTTGGTTTGCCATTCGCATATGAGTGCAGGTCCGGTGGCTTCGGTGAGGCCGTAGGCATGCATCACATGGAAACCAAGATTCTCCATTTTCTCGAGGAGGGCGACAGGCGGCGGCGATCCTCCGGTGAGTATGTTGACCTTGGTGGTTATTTCACGACGTTCGTGAGGTTTTGCTTCAAGAAGGATGTTGAAGACGATAGGAGCACAACACATATGAGTTACATTGTGGGTGGTTATACCGTGGTACATTTCTCTAGCAGAGGTGTTGCGGATGCAAACATTTGTTCCACCTCTCGCTGCCACACCCCAGGTGAACGTCCAGCCATTGCAATGGAACATGGGAAGTGACCACAAATACACTGTTTCAGTACTCATCTCCCACCCTTGAATCAAACTCATTGTGCTCAGAAAAGTACCACGATGGCTATACACCACCCCTTTGGGGGCGGAGGTTGTCCCGGAGGTGTAATTCAAAGCGATGGAATCCCATTCATCCTCCACTTCTTCACCATTATACCTTGGATTTCCATGGCGGATGAGTTGCTCGTATTCCAACTTCCCAAGACGGATTCCGGTGGGTTTATCAATGTCATCAATCACAATGACCAACGGCATCTCGTATTTATGATCAAGTATTTCTTTCAAATCCGCCATCAACAAGCGGAGGGCCTCCGATGCCAATGGAACATACTGAAAATCCACAAAGAAGACCTTGGCTTCAGAGTGACGAAGAATGGTTGCAATGTTCTTAGCATCTAGCCTTGTGTTGATTGCATTAAGCACACCTCCCGCCATAGGAACTGCAAAATGCATCTCATATAACGCAGGTACATTTGGTGCCAGCACCGATACCTGTCCAAGGTAAAAATCCAATCAATATATATATATATATATATATATATACATATATACATATATATAATATATAAAGGAAAACCTTAAGATGATTACATGCCACAATGAGAATCAAGTATTTATCAAATGATGATTTGTGGTGAATTCTTGATTGTCCCACATCAACATATCAAATATATATATATATATATATATATATAGGAACGATCAAATGCAAACCACTCAATTTGTACAAACCGCATTCAACCAATCATAATTTTTCATTTTATTCATTTTTTTGTAATTATGAGAGGTTGATTAATCATTTTTATCATATATATATATATATATATATAAGCCTTAAGATGATGATATGGCAGAATGAGAATATAGTACTTACCAAATGATAATTTGTGGTGAATTCTTGATTATACCAAATTGGTGACAAAAGTAAAAATTTGGAAGTGCAAGTGACAATATAAAGAATAAGAATGAGCATCCAAATTTTGATCAATTTTGGGTTAAATAGTTATTTATTATTTACATGATAAAACATTTCATGTAATAGTTAAACATTTCATTTTCATTTCATATAAACTAAATTTATATAGAATCACCCATTGTTTCTGTTACTTATATTTTATTATTTTAACATATATTTTTAATTGTTACTTTTTCTTATTTTTTAACATAATCAAAATTTTAGTAATATGGAACAATACATACAAATTAAATTTTTATTAAATTATCAATATATCATCAATTTATATATATATATATATATATATATATATATAAAAACCTTAATATGATGATATGTCGTCATGAGAATCAAGTATTTTATCAAATATAAGTTATTTTAAATACGTAATCCCAAACACCTCTTCGTAGTACACCAAACTATAAAGCTTCGTATATAAACCTATTGTTAAATTGTCCAAAAACGTTCTATAAATCTATCGTAACGCTTTCAAATAAGACTGGTTTTTTGTTTATTCCTATAACGTATTTTATGATAAACGTAATGTTAATGTTGTTGTAGATTGTAAAATCAAAGTCAATGACTCCAGTCAGCCATGCAGAAATTTAACACAAGAACTGAATATCAGTAATCACTTACAACATTGTTCTTGACAATATTCAACGAGCGAAGGGAGGAAGCGAGACGGCAGCAGCGTTGATACGTTTGGTGCCAGGTGAAGCGGACTCCGCCGTAGATGACGGACGTCCTCTCAGAGTAAACCATGGAAGCTCTTTTGATGAAAGTGAGAGGAGTTAATGGCACATAGTTTGCTGAGCATTTTGCAAGTCCATCCATAACTTAATCAATCTGAATGAATAGGAGATTTCAGATGCAGTTAAATGAAGCTCAAAGACAGCAAGTACTTTAGAGAGAGAGAGACAAGAGATCTAGAGAGAGAGAGAGAGAGTGAGTGAGTGAGTGTGATGGCAGAAGAGGAAGGGATGCACTTATAATAGAGGTGGGGTTTGGATGAATGATCAGAAAACATGTGATTGGATGCATCTACAGTGAACTGTGTACGTACATATGGTTATGGTGGTGGTTTTGTGTTGAACACAGCCACAGCCATTTGACCATGAATGTCTGAAGGCTTTTGTATGGATTGGATTATTTTACAAAGTGATTAGAAAAGTTGAGGTAGTTTTTTGATTAATGGGCTGCTTGACTAATCCACTTTTAATCTGAATTAAAAATTCCTCATCTCTTAACATCACCTCCCTTCTCTCCTGCTCATTCTGCCTTACATAGTGTCTCTAATTAACTAATGGACTCTATGCATCTCTATCTATATTATATTATAAATTATTTGATAAAAAATTTTAAAAATCATTTTTTATGTAAAATGTCGTTACTAAAAAAAAGGATATCACCTTTTTCTTATGACAAAAATTTAATTTTTTTAATAAAAATTAAATTCCGTCGGAAACCTTTTTTATAGATATATTTGTTAGGAAAAAAAAATAAAAAAATATATTTTTCCGTTTAAAGTTTCCGACGAATTTCTGACGGAATTTAATTTTTTAAAAATTAAATTCCGTCGGAAATGTTAAAAGGAAAAATGTTATATATATATAAACCAACACTTCACATAGGTGATTCTTTTAAGTCTTGCACCTGTACATGTGATTTTTCCGACACTTGCATGTCTAAGCACATACCTTGGGATGTAATCATCATATGCTTCAATTCCTATTAACAAGCCTTCCACATTGAATTCAGTCTTAAATGTTGTATTAAAGGGGAATTAGGTATCTTATTATTAGAAATCTATATATATATATATATATATATATAGAAAGAAAGAGAGAGAGAGGGGTTGGATCAAATACTAACCAAGAAATTTGTGTTAACTATATTAACCAACACTAACCAATCATATTTTTTCTTTGTTTTATGTTCAAATGTAACTTATAAATTAAATACAAGGGTGATTATGTAATTTGATATTTATGTAACTCCCTATTAATTAATTGGGAGTTACAAATCTTAAAGATCCCTCTAATTGATCATTAGGTAATTCTGATTTTTATCTTCATTTGTGTTCATGATCGTGATTTCAAGTGATGTTCTACATATAATGATATTCGTTTTGTAAGTGTAAAAGATTTCCGTATCGTCCGAGTAATATGGATAATACTATTGTAAATCATATTGATAACAATGGAAATGACAAAGTTAAAATCGGATACGACTACGGTCGGAATTCGAATTCCGATGATGAAGAAGATGATCAAAGCGTTCCGATTGGTAAGTGATTAGTATGACATYTATTTTGTTTWAATGAACAGCTATTACCGTTGTGAACCATTAAATATTCTTGCAAATATAGTTGAATTCGTTGAAAAATCTGATGCACATTTTGGTACTGCATATGTTTAGGGATTAATTTAGTTGATAAAGAAACAGATATGAACAGATTATAAGAGATATGGACACACATTAACACATATGAAACTGCACAAATCAAATAGATATAGATGTTATGCTTCATTAGTGTTCAGCTGTATGAAATGCATTAGATTTTCATATTGACACACATGAACAATTACATCACATGTCAAGAGATACTAAGACATAAGGACACACACAACATATGAACACATAGCAAAGGCATAATATGTGGATATCGATACATATGCACAACTACATCACATGAATATGAACAGGATTTTTGAGTAGTATGTCATGTCATTGTTCATATCGATACATATGCACAACGCATTCACATGAACATGCGATCAGGCTCTGTGATTCATGTGAACAACGCCTTTTTACATTTTTACCCTATGAATCCATTGTTCACATATTATTAATTAATATATTAATTAAATAATTAAATTCTTATTCTCATTAAACCACAACCGTTAGATGTTCAAATCAACGACCAAAATCGGTTAACAAAGTTAACACGATAATCTTAGTTAGTATTTGAACCAGCCCCTATCTATACATGGGCTGGTTCAAATGCTAACCAAAATTATCGTATTAACTTTGTTAACCGATCTTGACCATTAATTTGAATAATAAACAGTTGTGATTTAATGATATTTAAAAATTAATTATCAAATTAATATTTTCAATTAACATATGTAAACAAAATATCAAAGGTTATTTAGGTAAAAAGTAACATATCTTTGATACACGAGTTGTCAGACATATGAACACGTGTGAAACTCCAATGTCAATATTGTATATTAAGGCCTCATCATACGTTTTTGGATCTTCTTCTATGCTATAACAATAAGCATATTAAGGCCCAATTTCAACCTTCAATCAAATATAATTGAAAGTTAGGACCAAAAGATTTCGATTCTTCCTCGTTCGCTTCTTCGAAGCTCGAGAACTTCTTTGATTCCACTAGTACTAGGAATCAAGTCTTTTATTCTCGAAATGGAAGTAAATCGATTCTCATCGAAGATGGCATCTCTCGATCCTATAACGGTATCAACCGAAACAGATCTAGTCGTTGGGTTCGATCACATCACATAGAACCGATATGCTTTCAAATGATAGGCATAACCGATGAATATGGTAAGGACCAAAAATCTTACCTGGTAAGAGCAACACAAAGACCAAGAGTCTTACCCGGTAAGTGACGACGACTCTTACCATGGTAAGCGCTTACCATGGTAAATTGTTGCGTACGATATCGTTTTGGTGGACTAAAATCTTACCCGATAAGTAAATGATAATGTTAAATTTACCGATAAACACTTATCGAGTAAATGTTTGGTAAACATCCTCTTAGTCTAATTGGAACTATTTACAAATGCATATGTAAAAATGGTCATATAACACTGAAGAAGTCAACCAAATCAAAAAAAATTATTTACTATAAAAACTTTTAATAAATAGTTTCCATACTTATCTATACTATATTATAAAACATTTGATAAAAACTTTTAAAAACCATTTTTTATATATAAAATACTGTTTAATAATACATATTACTTAAAACTCAAGATTGTAAGTAGATTATGCATAAATACAACTTATTAAAGCTCTATATCTGAATTAGTGTAACTAACTGCAGATAAACATAATCAAGTGCAGGATAAACATCTCATTTTAAATATAAAAAATCTAAAATATAAATAGGATAATTATTGAGTTATAACAGAATACTTAATTATTATCTTTATAAAATGTTATATTATTAAATCAAAAAAAATATTTCATTATTAAACTTAAATTAAATTATAATATCGACAGAGACAAATAATAAAATAGAACATTAAAATCGAGATATGTCTCGCTGCATTGCGCAAGTACTTTTCTAGTCTCTCCTTAAACCATAAAAGATTTAACGTAATCGTCCATTAATAAAAATATATTAAAATACAAAACTACCCCTTCATTTAAATCCAACGATTTTTTAAAACATTTAGAATATTAGATTACATATATTTATTTCACAATGTGTTTGTCTTACATATACTCGTTTCATAATGTGTCACTACAACAAATCGGACTTATAGAATGCTCCTAATTTCTAAGTAGGGGTGAGCAGTGGAATCGGGTACCCGTTTGCGGAACCAGAACCGCCTTGGAACCGCCGGTTCCGTAACCGGAACCGATATGAGTGGTTCCGGTTCCTAAAATACGGAACCGATTGAGAACGGTTCCGGTTCCGGTTCTCAATTTTTCGGAACCGTTACCCGCCGGGTACCCGGAACCGTTACCCGCCGGGTACCCGGAAACGGCGGTTGTTTTTCAATAAAAAAATAATTGATTTTTTTCAATACCAAATTTATATTAAGTTACATCTTCAAATGACGCGGTCATCTTCAT